ATCATTTAAAGCTCTTGTTTCTTTGGAGATGTTGTGTTTAGAAGACCTATTGAGTGTAGAAACCACTAGATTGAAGTCACCAAGTATAAGTGTATTATTATCTAAGTATGTCTTAACTTTGGTTATTAATTGACTGATATATTTTTCAGCTCCCACATTCAGGGCATATATATTGAGGATTGTTAAGTCCTCTTGATGGATAGATCCTTTAAGTATGATATAGTGTCCCTCTTCATCTCTCACTACAGTCTTCGGGGTAAATGTTGGATATAAGGATGGCTACCCCTTCTTTCTTTTGAGGACCATTTGAATGGTAAATGGTTCTCCAACCTTTTATTTTCAGGATGTAGGTGTCCTTCTGTCTAAAATGAGTCTCTTGTAGACAGCAAATAGATGGGTCCTGCTTTTTTACCCAGTCTGAAACCCTGCAGCTTTTGATGGGGTCATTAAGCCCATTCACGTTCAATGTTACTATTGAAAGATATGAGTTTAGTGTCATCATGATATCTATTCAGTCCTTTTTTTTTTTGTGGATTGTTCCAGTGAACTTCTTCTTAAAGGGGAATTTTAAGAGTCCCCCTTAAAATTTCTTGCAGAGCTGTTTTGGAGGTCACATATTCTTTCAGTTCCTGCCTGTCTTGGAAGCTCTTTATCTCTCCTTCCATTTTGAATGAGAGCCTTGCTGGATAAAGTATTCTTGGTTGCATGTTCTTCTCATTTAGGACCCTGAATATATCCTGCCAGCCCTTTCTGGCCTGCCAGGCCTCTGTGGGGAGGTCTGCTGTTACCCTAATACTCTTCCCCATAAAAGTCAGGGATTTCTTGTGTCTTGCTGCTTTAAGGATCTTCTCTTTATCTTTGGAATTTGCAAACTTTACTATTAAATATCAAGATGTTGAACAGTTTTTATTGATTTTAGGGGGGATCTCTGTGTTTCCTGGATCTGAGTGCCTGTTTCCCTTCCCAGATTAGGAAAGTTTTCAGCTAGGATTTGTTCAAATACATATTCTGGCCCTCTGTCCCTTTTCAGCACCCTCGGGAACCCAAATTAAACTAGGTTTTTCTTCCTCAGGCTGTCATTTTTTTCCCTTAATCTATCCTCATGGTCTTTTAATTTTTTTTATTTATGATAGTCACACACACACACACAGAGAGAGAGACAGAGAGAGAGAGAGGCATAGACACAGGCAGAGGTAGAAGCAGGCTCCATGCACCGGGAGCCCAACGTGGGATTCGATTCCAGGTGTCCACGATCGCACCAGGGCCAAAGGCAGGCGCCAAACCGCTGCGGCACCCAGAGATCCCCCTCATGGTCTTTTAATTGTTTGTCTCTTTTTTCCTCAGTTTCCCTCTTTGCCATCACCTTGTCTTCTATGTCACTCACTCATTCTTCCACCTCCTTAACCCTCGTCATTAGGACTTCTAGCTTTGATTGCATGTCATTCAATTGATTTTTTATTTCTGCCTGTTTAGATCTAAATTCTGCAGTCATGAAGTCTCTTGAGTCCTTTATGCTTTTTTTCTAGAGCCACCAGTAGCTTTATAATAGTGCTTCTGAATTGGCTTCCTGACGTTGAATTGTAATCCAGATTTTGTAACTCTGTGGGAGAGAGGACTGTTTCTGATTCTTTCTTTTGAGGTGAGGTTTTCCTTCTAGTCATTTTGCTCAGTGCAGAGTGGCCAAAAACAGGTGTATTGGGAAAAGGAGAAAAGGAGAGGAGAGAAAGAAGGAAAGAAAAGAGAAAAAGAAAAAAAAAGGAAGAAAAAAGAAAAAAAGAGAAGAAAAAGAGAAAGAAAAAAGGGTTGGGGAAGCAAACAGAAATCAAAAAGAAAAAAAAAACACGGGGGAGTATCTTCTGATTCTGTATACTTTAAGTCCCTTGACTTCCCCTGGAACTTTTCCGTCTAGCTGGTCTTCTGGGGGAGGGGCCTGTTGTGCTGATTTTCAGTTGTTAGCACTTGGGGGAGCTGCTCTGCCCCCTGCCTGGTGCAGGGCTCAGTGGGGATTGTTTACCCCGTGAGGCCCCAGGAGGAACAACTACAGTCGCGGTGGCCAGCCTGGAGCCCTGGATTCAGCTCCCACAGTAACTAAGGAGCTCTCAGTCTGCAGGGGCCTGGATGCTCCGGGGGCGAGGCTGCTGATCTGCTCAGCTTGAGGCAGGAGCGTCCTTGCTGTCCTGGGCCCTCCTGGCCTCTGCCTGTCCCAGGGGGAGGTCGGATCCTGGGCTGTGTCCCCGGCGCCCTGTGCTCCCGGGCCTGCGCTGTTGGATTCCGTTCCTGGCCCGGCAGCCCCCTCTGCGGGGAGCCTCTTCCTCTGCCGGAGCCGCCTCCGAGCTGCTCCCGGGGCTGGGTAACCCCCTCTCCACGGAGCCACTGCCTGAGCCCCTCTGAGCTGCTCCCGGGTCCAACCATGTACGTGCTGCAGCCCTTTAGGGAGCTCGGCTGCAGGGTGTGGCGTTCTACCCGGGGGGCAGGTGTCTGTTAGTGTCCCAGGGAGCCTGAGGTCATCCCCGCCCTCCCGGGGTCTTGCTCTAACTCCCTGTGAGCGCCTTTCTGCCCAGGAAGATTGGTGAAGCTCCTGCTTCTCCAGGACGGTGCTTTCCTGTCCTGGGGGCACTCACCCGGGCCTTAGCAGGGCTCCTCGCGGGGCCCCTCTCCCTCGGATGCCTTTTGTTTCTTTATTTCTTTTTTCCCCATATTCCTACCTTGATAGACGCGTGAACTCTTCTCACTGTAGCATTCCAACTGTTCTCTCTTTAAATCTCAGGCCAAATTCTTAGATTTTCAGGATGATTTGAAGGTTATCTAGGTAATTTGGTGGGGACAGGTGACTTGGGGACCCTACTCTTCCGCCATCTTGCCCCTCCCTCATTCATGATTTTATTAATTTGGGACAATTCCCTTCTCTTTTTGGTAAGTGGCCAGGGGTTTATCAGTCTTATTACTTTGATCTCCTGACCTTGCTGGTAGTTCGCAGTTTATGGCAACACCAAGCTAAAAGCCCATGCCTAGGCTCCCTGATTGCAGCCAGCTTCCCTGCTCCAATGCTTGGGGACTCTGCAACACTCAGGCACCCTGTTCTTTCTGTGACCCCGGGAATCCTGAGACCACACTGTCCCACATAGGATTTTGCCCCACTGTGCCAGCTAAGCACCTTTCAGGTGGGAACATCCCTCATCAGAGCAGCTTCTGAAAGTTCTGATTTTGCACTCCACTGCTGTATCACTTACTGATAGCTGGAATATGGAGGATCCCTTCTCCCCCCCTCAGTTTATCTTCCAATAAATCCCCTCAGATTCACTTCTCCGCACCTCCTATTTTGCAAAAAGTGGTCACTTTTCTATTTGTAGAATTGCAGTAATTCTTTTCTAGATAACAGCTTGAGTTCACAAGTGTTCAAAATTATTTGAAAGCTATCTATCTGACTTTAAGTGATCGGATGAAACGAGGGTCCCTTACTCTTCCACCATCTTCCCTCCTCTCTCTCAAGTAGTTTTAATGGTGAGAAAATGTCCACATTCCCTCTCCCTCTCTTATGGGAGGTTTCTACCATTGCTGCAGTTTGATATATCCATTAAAAATAATAATAATGAGTGGTCTCTATTGTCATGAAACAACCCCAGGAGGTAACTGGGAAACAAATCAATTTGTATGCCCCAAAGTGCTCTCATATCTGGACACTGATTTTTCTCAAAGGTAGAATATAAGGGTGGGGACTACTGTGGGATTAAAGAATTCAAATAGTAGTACCCTCGGGTCTAGAGGTAACCTAAGGCCTCGCTCACCATTGGACCCCAGCCATGTCAATCATTCCTTCTCAGCAAATCAGCTTAGAGCTCATGGTAGAGGAAGTGGCCTTTTGTTGACTCCTCCAAGTTCCACCTCTTGTCACCAGGCCAACGGAATCCTTCTTGCCTTGTCCACAACCACCTCAGGCACCATCTTCTTCCAGGGCTCCTTGGGGTGCCCCTCTGTGCCTGCTGTGACAGGGCTTCCACAGGCACCTTCATGGACTGTTGGGCCCTCTGAAGCCATCCTCTCTGCCGCCCCCACCGGCTCCTGACAGGTGCTTCTGCCAACAACCTCCCCTTGGGAGCAGTCACTTCAACAGGTGCCATCTTCGCCACAGTTGTTGCTGTGGCCTGATCACAGCTCCAGTTGAGGCACAGACCCGCGGGCCCCTCCTGCCATGTCTGCCACCGAGGATACAAGTCTGATGCCAGGTGGCCAGGACCCCAGGCCCCTCAGGGTCCCACTGTCACCTTCAGAAGGGGTGGATGGAGTCAGGGAGAGTGCAGCCTTCCTAGCTTCTGAAGGGCTTTCCAGAGCCTTTTTTGAAAAGGAGGGTAGGCAGGAGGCTGCCCAAGCCGCAGAAAAGATCTGGGATGTAGAGATGCTAGAAGAGGAGGATGAGGGGGAAGTGGAGGAGGAAGAGGAAGAAGAGGAGTTTGATTTTGAGTTTGAGGACCAGGAAGTCGATGAGTACCAGTCACCAGATTTAGAGTATGAGTTTGGGAATGAGGGGGAGTCTGAGTCAGAAGAGGGTGAGGCCAACGAGGAAGAGAATGAGGAGGAAGTGATTGAGCAAAAAGAAGGCAACAGCCAAGGCCAAGAGCATGCAGAAATTGCTGCGGGGCCTCCTGAGGCCCCCATGACTCGATTTTGGTCCCTTTTCAGGGTTTTAATTCATTCCCTTCTACACCGTATCCATGATAACGACCATGTCCTGGTCCGGCCCCACGCATGCTGCATGGTGATCAGCTGCCACTCCCGGGAGGCCCAGGACAGGGAGAGGGGACCGGTGCCTCCAGATGTGGAAGAGCCAGGAAGAGTCCTGGATCAGGAGCACCCGAGAGAGGAAGCAGAAGTCTGGGTGGGCGAATAACAGGCAGAGGGCACCCCACCCTGAGGGCGACAGGCACCAACAGAGGGCCCTGCATCCCAAAAGGCAGAAGAACCTGCAGCAGAGGCCCTGGGAGATGCCTCTGAGTCCTAGGAAGATGGGGACAGTGTATCCTTCAAGTTCCAAGATGGTGAGTGGCCATCAAGTCCTCAGGACCTTGAAGCCCCCACTGGGGCACCCAGCTTAAAGGAAGGCAGTGCTCAGCACTTGCTTTTAGCCATTAAGCAATGGGTGAAAGCTCTCAAAAACCTTCAGGCCCAGTATGCCCAAGTAGAAGCTCAATTTTACAGAGATTTTCATGATCTAGAGAAAAAGTATGCTGCCTTTTACCAACCTCTGTTTGATAAGAGATCTGAGATCATCAATGCAATCCACAAGCCCACAGAAGGTGAATTTCAGTGGCAAGTAGGTGTTCAGGAAGGCACATGCGGAGATATGGAAAGAGAGCCTGTGGAAGAAGGGCACACAAATGGTCTACCTCACTTTTGGTTGATGGCTTTTTAAGATGTGAAGATCCTCAGCAGGATGATCCAAAAAAGTGATGAGCTTGTACTAGAGCACCTGGAAGATGTAAAAATTAAAATTTCAGGATTCGAGGAACCAATGAGCTTCACCATAGAATTCATCTTCAAGTCAAATGAATACTTTTTCAACAAAGTCCTGACGAAAACCTACCAACTGCGATCAGACCCAAGTGATTCTGATCCCTTCTTCTCCAAAGGGACAGAAATTATCAGTAGCACAGGGTGTAAGATCTACTGGAAAGAGGGGAAAGATGTCACAGTGAAAACTAGCAAGCTGCAGAGAGGTGAGGTCCGCAGAAGTTTTGCATCCACCCCCAGGACGATGCCTGGCTATTCTTTCTTCACCTACTTCTATCCTCCTGATTCTCCTGAGGGCAGAGAGATGAATGTTGCCACCGATTATAAATTGGGCTATTTTTTCCGTGAAGTTCTGGTCCCGAAGTCTGTGTTATTCTTCACTAATGAAGCCAGAGATTATAACTATAAAAGTGCTGACGATGATGCTAGACAAGTTGGAGGTGAGGAAAAGAAAGAAGTGATCAGAAATGAAAAACCTAACAAAGGGGCTGGAAAAGATCTGGACCCAGAAGAGAGCAGTTGCTAAGAACCCAGGTATGTGTGTGTAGTTTTGTGTATCACCCAGCCATGCCTGACATACATCAGTTGTGCTTCTAAATGTTCTCAGTAAACCACAAGATCTATGTCTAAAACGTAGTTCGATGAGCCAGTGTAATGTTAAAGATGTATATTTGTATAGAATGCAGCATATTCTGAAATGTACTTCATTCACAGCTGTAAGTCCTTCCAGTTACAGCTGTAAGACTTCTACAGGTGGGAAATGTGTCTGCCCTGGTAGCAGAGACCAATGTTTCTTTAGAACATGGTTACCAGAACAGGTGGCTAAAGCAGTCTGAATGAACACTAGCTGTGCCTTCATCATTAGGTCATAGTAATGTGACCTCCTATATGAAGTAGGAGATAATTTCTTTGAGAATGTGACTACTTACACAGGTATCATAAGAATTGTGTGTAGGACCACATTTAATGAGTGATGCCTAGCCATTTGTTCAGTTATAATTTTTATATTTCAGGGGACAGTGAAAAGAAAGGAAATAGTCCTGGCAAGATTACGGTTTATCACTGGATTGGTACACAAGTTGATTTATGTCCAACATATTTTGTCCTTTCCTTTAACTTTCTCCTTTCCCAGATGTTGGAACTTGGATTCTGGGAGGTAAACAAGTATACTTTATGGATAGAGTACAGGCTTTTAAAATCAAAGGGATGGCTAAATACAGAATGTTTCCTCAAAACAAAATGAATAAGCCTTTTTGGTGTTTGGCAAATAACAGATGAGGTTGACATGTCACAGAATTGAAGACATTAGATTATGCAAGAGCGCCCTGATACCCAGGGTTCTGGGTTACAAGAGGAAAACATGATTTCTCCTGTTAGCTCAGAAGTACATAGGATTGCCTGTTCTTATACTAAGAAAGTCACTGTTGCATGTTAGTCAAGTTCAATTTTTAATTGTATCTTATTTCATCTACAGTTCAGAGGCATAGAAAACATGAATGAAGAAAGCAACAATGCATTTGTTCTTCATGGAGTCAAGATTTTCCAATTTTCACTTGTCCATGAAATTTTATCACCATTCATTTTATTCCAATGTCTTCAGATATTCCAGAATTATGACAGCAGTTGTTCACATTAAAAATAAATGTTTGTTTAAAATGAATAATCCACAGATTTTTTAGATATATAACACCAACTCAAATCTATCTTTGTATCTTTTTGTTTGGGCCCACCTGACTATTACTGAAAGGAACTACTTTCAACAATTTGGTTGTTTTAGGTTCTTTTATATATCCTACAATTAATTAAAAACTTATAAACAACTTATATAAAGGATGAAGTTGTCCCTACTGCATTCTTTTAAAGTTATCTGATGGATGACCTACCTTACCTGGAGACCAGTGGTGCTGGGTTGTACTGCACTGATGTGGACCAGAGGCAGCAGCATCACCTGGGAACTTGTCAGAAATGCAAATTCTCAGGCCTCACTTGAAACCTACTGAATTGGTAATTCTGATGCTGGGCCACAGTCATAGTTTTAGAACTCCCCCAGGTGATTCTGAATCTCAATGATGTTTGTGAACCACTCATTTCAAGCAATGAATGCATCTATGGTAGGAACAGCATTAATTCAGTGATGTGAGGCTGGTTCAGGTAGACTGTAAGGTCTGAGCTGGGAATGAGAATGGAATTCTCAAAGGCCTGGGACACAGAGAAAGACATTTTAGAAGGACAAACATTAGGTGATGGCAGTGCAAAATAATGCATTAGGGAACAAGTTCATTGCAGAAATGCACAAACACTATGACACCATGTATATGAACTTTCAAAACATGCAAAATAAACATATAGATTATGGATACATATATATGTAGTAAAAAGTGATGGAGCAATGCACAAATATGTAGCATGCAGAAAGGCATGTAGTGGAACAATAAAGATCTTTTTTAGGATACTGGTTATGGGGATCCCTGGGTGGCGCAGCGGTTTGGTGCCTGCCTTTGGCTCAGGGCGCGATCCTGGAGACCCGGAATCGAATCCCATATCGGGCTCCCGGTGCATGGAGCCTGCTTCTCCCTCTGCCTCTCTCTCTCTCTGTGTGACTATCATAAATAAATAAATTTAAAAAAATTTAAAAAAAAGGATACTGGTTATGTCTTGTGTAGATGGCTAGAGGATAATTAAATTGGGGATGGGATATCTTAGTTTTCTACTTCTGCCATAACAAATTACATAAAATAGTTGGCATAAAACAGAAATTTATACCCTCACACTCTGGGGGCTGACACTGGCAGTTCTCTGGTTCTGGAATTCTGTTTTCAGGTAAAATCAGGTTGAGGACACAGCCACATTTCCTTTGAAGGTCAAGGTGAGGAATATTCCTTGCCTCTTCCAGATTCTGATGACTCCTGGAATTCCTTGGCTTGTGGCAGCATAACTCAAATATCTGCTTCCGTTTTCATATGACCTCCCCTGTGTGTCTGTGACTTAATTTTCCCTCTCTTTTATCTTACAGTCATATTAGTCATTGAGGTTAGGCTCACCCTCCAGTTCCATCCATGTCGAAGCAAATGGTGGGTATTTGTCCTCTCTGATGGCTGAGCAATATTCCACTGTGTATATATACCACATCTTCTTTATCCATTCCTCTGTCGAAGGACATCAAGGAACCTTCCACAGTTTGGCTGTTGTGGACATTGCTGCTGTGAACGTTGAGGTATAGGTGTCCTAGGGTTTCACTGCATCAGTATCTTTGGGGTAAACACCCAGCAGTGCAATTGCTGGGTCGTAGGGTAGCTCTATTTTTAACTTCTTGAGGAACCTCCACACTGTTTTCCAGAGTGGCTGTACCAGTTCACATTCCCACCAACAGTGCAAGAGGGTTCCCCTTTCTCCACACCTTCTCCAACATTTGTTGTTTCCTGTCTTGTTAACTTTAGCCATTTGCACCAGTGTGATGTGGAATCTCATTGTGGTTTGGATTTGTATTTCCCTGACAGTAAGTGATATGGAGCATTTTTTCATGTGTCTGTTGGCCATTTGCATGTCTTATTTGGAGAAATGTCTGTCCATGTCTTCTGGCCATTTCATGACTGGATTGTTTATTTTTGGGCATGGAGTTTGAGAAGTTCTTTATAGATCTTGGATACTAGCCCTTTATCTGATATTTCATTTGTATATATCCTCTCCCATTCCATAGGTTGTCTTTTACTTTGTTGACTGTTTCCTTTGCTGTGCAGAAGACTTTATCTTGATGAAGTCCCAATAGTTCATTTTTACTTTTGTTTCCCTTGGCTTTGGAGACGTGTCTAGCAAGAAGTTGCTGTGGCCAGGATCCTCAGAGAGGCTGCTGCCTGTGTTCTCCTCTAGGATTTTGATGGCTTCTTGCCTCACATTTAGATCTTCCAACCAGGGATCCCTGGGTGGCGCAGCGGTTTAGGGCCTGCCTTTGGCCCAGGGTGCGATCCTGGAGACCCGGGATCGAATCCCATGTCGGGCTCCCAGTGCATGGAGCCTGCTTCTCCCTCTGCCTATGTCTCTGCCTCTGTGTGTGTGTGTGTGACTATCATAAATAAAAATAAAAATTTAAAAAAATAGATCTTCCAACCATTTTGAGTTTATATTTGTGTATGGTGTAAGAGAATTGTCCAGTTTCATTATTCTGCATGTGGCTGTCCAATTTTCCCAACACAATTTATTGAAAACACTGCCCATTTTCCATTGGCTATTCTTTCTTGCTTTGTCAAAGATTAGTTGACCATAGAGTTTAGTGTCTATTTTTGGCTTCTCTATTCTGTTCCATTGAACTATGAACTTTTGTGCCTGTACCATATTGTTTTGATGATCACAGCTTTGTAATATAGCTTGGAACCCAGCATTGAGATCCCACCATCATTGGTTTTCTTTTTTCAGCATTCCTCTGGCTAGTCAGGTCTTTTCTGATTCCATACACATCTTAAATGATTTGTTCCAACTCTCTGGAGAAACTCCATGGTATTTTGATAGGGATTCCATTGAACTTGTAAATTGCCCTGGGTAGCATAGACATTTTCAAAATATTTATTCTTCCAATCCATGACTTTGGGATGTTTTTCCAACTCTTTCTGACTTCCTCAAATTCTTTTTAGAAGTGTTCTGTACTGTTTAGGGTACAGATACTTTAATCTTTAGTTAGGGTTATTCCTAGGTATCTTATACTTTGGGATGCAGAAGTAAGTGGGATTGGTTTCTTAATTTCTCTTTCTTCAGTATCATTATTAGTGTACAGAAAGGCCACTGATTTCTGTGCATGGATATGGTATCCTGCCACATTGCTGAATTGCTACATGAGTTCTAGCAATCTTGGGTGGAGTTTTTTGGGTTTTCTAGGTACAGTATCATGTCATCTATGAAGAGCGAGAGTTTGAATTTTTTTCCCATTTGAATGCCTTTTATTTCTTTTTATTGTCTGATTGCTGAGGCTAGGATTTCTAGTACTATGTTGAATAGTTGTGTGGTGAGAGTGGACATCCCTGTCATGTTCCTGATCTTAGGGAAAAGGCTCTCAGTTTTTCCTCATTGAGAATGGTATTCACTGTAGGCTTTTTTTTAGATGGGTTTTAAGATTCTAAGGAATGTTCCCTCTATCTCCCCACTCAGAAGAGTTTTGATCAAGAACGGATGCTGTATTTTGTCAAATGCTTTCTCTGCATCTACTGAGAGCATTATATGGTTCTTGTTTTTTCTCTTGTTTATGTGATCTATCACATGATTTTTTTATGAGTGTTGAACCAACCTTGCATCCCGGGCATAAATCCCACTTGGTCATGGTGAATAATCGTCTTAATGTACTGTTGGATCCTATTGGCTAGTATCTTACTGAGAATTTTTACATCCGTGTTCATCAGCTATATTCTTCTATATTCAAATTTTGGTGGGTTCTTTGTTTGATTTTGGAATCAAAGTAATGCTGGCCTCAAAATGAGTTTGGAAGTGTTCCATCCATTTCTATCCTTCGGAACAGCTTTAGTAGAATAGGTATTATATTTC